GTAGTGTCGACTTGACCCCGTTTGAACTCATGGTCCAAAAGAAATTTGCTTAACCGTTCATACCAAGCACGAGGTGCTTGTTTGAGACCGTAAAGCGCCTTTTTGAGTTTGAAGACATGTTCGGGAAACTCATAGTCTTCGAAACCCGGGGGTTGTTCGACATACACTTCCTCTTGAATGATACCATTAAGGAAGGCACTTTTAACATCCATTTGATAAAGCTTAAAATCCATTGTAGATGCAAATGCAAGTAATAAACGAATAGCTTCTAAACGTGCAACCGGTGCATAAGTTTCTTCATAATCAATGCCTTCTTCTTGATTGTAGCCTTTAGCTACAAGCCTAGCTTTGTTTCTAGTGATTACTCCATTTTCATCGAGTTCGTTACGAAACACCCATTTTGTGCCAATAACGGAATGATCATTAGGTCTAGGCACCAACTCCCAAACATCATTGTGTTTAAATTGGTTAAGCTCCTCTTGCATTGCCATAGACCAATGTTCATCATTAATAGCATCCAAAACAGTTGTTGGTTCAATTTGAGAAACAAAGGCCATGTGATTAATTGTGTTCCTAAGAGAATTACGAGTAGAGACTCCCTGCGTTATGTCACCAATGACGTTGTCAATCGGGTGATTCTTCAACGTTCTCCACTCCTTAGGAAGCTCTGTTTGTTCCTGTGTTTTCTCTTCTTCCGGTTCCTTTTCCTTAACGATTTCTTCTTCATCGTCATAAGAACCTGCAACATTATCAACAATACCTTTTCTCGCCAAGCGAGCATCAAATTCATCAAAGACAACATGAATAGACTCTTCTACAGTCTTAGTACGCTTGTTGAACACTCTATATGCCTTACTACGAAGAGAATAACCTAAGAAAATTCCTTCATCCGACTTAGCATCAAATTTTCCCAAGTTATCTTTTCCGTTATTATGAATAAAAACTTTACATCCAAAGACATGAAAATAGGAAAGGTTAGGTTTTCTTCCTTTGTAAAGTTCATAGGGCGTTTTCTTGAGTATCGGTCTAATGACGGCTCGGTTTAACACGTAGCACGCGGTACTCACGGCATCCGCCCAAAAATATTTAGGAAGGTTTGCCTCATTGAGCATAGTTCTAGCCATCTCTTCAAGAGATCTATTTTTCCGTTCAACCACTCCATTTTGTTGTGGTGTACGGGGGGCCGAGAAGTTATGCTCAATGCCTAATTCGTCACATAAGGCATCAAAACCATCTTGATCGAATTCTCCCCCATGATCACTTCTTATGGATGAAATGTGACAATCTTTTTCATTTTGAAC